TCTGCAAAAACAGTGATTATGTGTGAGGTGAAAGTGTTGAATGATGATGAAAGTATTTTCTTTTTAAGGATTTTCTTTCTTTTTTGGGTCACCCTGCCTCGGTGGGAGACGGCCGACTTGTTAACCCTTTCAGGGTTTCGGCTGTACTAGTACGGCTTACGCCCCAGGGTTTTTGACATACTAGTACGCCTAAATTCTAGCGCCTTCAAATCTAGTGAGAGAAAGCTGGTAGGCCTACATATGAAAGAATGGGTCTATGTGGTCAGTGTGCGCAGTATAAAAAAATCCTGCAGCACACAGTGCGTAATGAGGAAAAAAAGCTTTGACCGTGTTTTTGGATTAAAACAGCAACTTTGCACTGTACAGTGGAAACTTTACTTGCGAGCGTGTCCACGTGTGAGTTTTTCCAAATATGAGCAGTCAATGGGTCGATTTTCTGCTTCTATACGCGAGCAAAATTTCCACAAGCGAGCAGACCTCAAGGCAGGTTCCTTGACATTGGTGAGGGGCTCTTGCTCTTGATCTCGGGAATTGTATCTCATTTGCTTGTTGAACTATCTTATTGAAACTTGGGCAATATATGATGGAAAGATGCTTCTTAATGTACACCAGAAATGAAAGAAATTTAAGCATAAATAATGGATTTTCCCCTTCTCACCCAATTAGCCACTCCTTAGTGGAAATTTTTAAATGGTTTTTAGGGTTTTTTTTTTCCCGGTTTTTTTTTTTTTTCCCATTTGATAGAATGGAAGATAAAATTACAGAAATAGATATGTTTTTTTGATCGCTTTCACGACAAAAAGATTTGGGAAAAAAAGAGCTCAACCTAGGAGAAAGGAAATTTTGGGCCAAATTGCTTCCTTTTCCTTCCAAATTTGCAGCCTTTGAATGGGTTGGCATTTTTTTTTACAATTATTGCAAAAGGAATAACAGTAAATCTTTTTTTTTTTGTGTGAAAAAAAATTTACAAAAAATTTTATATAATAAAAATTTAATAAATAAAAATTTAAAAATTTTTTTAAATAAAAAATAATAAAATATAAAAATAATAAAAATAATTTTTTAATAATAATATAAAAATTTAAAAAAAAATATAAAAAATAAATAAAATTTAAATAATAATATAAAAAAATAATAATATTTTAAAATTAATTTGATACATTTTATAAAATAAGTACTACATATAATAATTTTTAAAAAAGAGGGTTTTTAAAAGGGCCCGTCACTAGATGGCAGTTTTTCCCAACAACATAAAAGGGGAGCGGTTGGGCCCGCCTCCCCTGTTACAAAATTGACATACAGTGGTCCCCCCAAATTAATCTTTCCGGCCGGGAAAAATTTCCATTTGGGAAAATTTGTCCTTATTTATCAAAACATTGGCCCCGAAAATGGTCTTTTAAACTCGCTAATCGTCCTTCGCCCGGGGAGGGTCCCCTGCTCTGAGTCGCCTGGGCCCCCAAACCAGTGTTCCTTTTTTGGGGGGCCCCCCCCCCAAAAAATTTTTTAAATTTTTTTTTTTGGTTTAAAGGGTTTAAAAAAGCTACCATGGCTCCAAAAATTAACCCCCCTTTTAAAAAATTTGGGGGAAAAAAACAAATTTTAAAAATTTAAAAAAAAAGGGGGGGAAAAGGGGGGGTTTTTAAGGGTTAAAATAAAAAAAAAATAAGGGAAAAAAAAACCCCCCGGGGGGAACCCGGCCCCCCTTTTTTTCCCAAAAAAAATTTTAAATTTCAAAACCCCCCCGAAAAGGGCCCAAAAACCCCCCTTTTCCCCCAAAAAAATTTTTTTCCCCCAAAAAAAAATTTAAATTTTTTTTTCCCCCCAAAAATTTTCCCCCCAAAAAAAAAAATTTTTTTTTCCCCCTTTTTTTCCCCTTTTTTTTTTTTTTTTTTTAAAAATTTTTTTAAAACCTTTGGGGGGAAAAAAAAAAATTTTAACCCTTTTTCTTTTTTAAAAAAAACCCCCAATTTTTTTTCAAAAAAAAATTTGGCCTTTTTTTTCGGTTTCCCCCCAAAAAAAGGGGTTTTTTTTTCAATTTTTTCCCCCCCTTTTTTTAAAAAAACCCCTTTTTGGGGGAAAAAAAAGGGCCCAAAATTTTGGGGGGTTTAAAAAAAAAAAAAAAAGGGTTTTTTTTTTTTTGGGGGGGGGGGAAAAAAAAAAAAAATTTTGGGGGGGGGGGTTTTTTTAGAACATAAGAAAGGGGGATCACTGCAGCAAGCCTGTTGGCCCATGCTCAGCAGGTCCTTTACAATTCATCCCACTAACGAAACATTTTCCCAACCCAGTCCTCAATGCTTCCCAAGAAATAAGCTCTGATAACTATCCACTCATTTGCAAGTCCCTAATGGAAGGGGATTCCCCTTCTAAACACTAACACCATCAACACTCTCCCCTCCTCCCATCCTATCAGTCATCACCAGATCTTCAATAAAGGTAAGTGTCATGTAACTGTGCATGTCTTCTTCAGTTTGTGTGTATTAAAATTAATATTTCATGTGGTAAAAAAATTTTTTTCAGTACTTTGGGGTGTCAAGAACAGATTAATTTGATTTCCATTATTTCTTATGGGGAAAATTAACTCGACTAACGATAATTTCGATTAATGATGAGCTCTCAGGAACGGATTAATATCGTTGGTCAAGGGTCCACTGTAATTGAATCAAGTGTAAATGCCTTCCATACTCCTAGGTGCTGTATGACCTCTATGGATTTAGCACTCCTCGATGACACTGCTTTTGGGAGATTATGAAGAGAGGTTACAAAAGTTGGTGGACGGATTTGGGAGGGTACGTGAAAGAACGAAATTAAAAGTGAATACGTATAGGAAAGAGCAAGGTGATGAAGATAAAAAATTTTGGTAATGAAAAAAGTGGATATCAGATTGGAGGGAGTATGGGAGAGGTGAATGTGTTCAGGTATTTGGGAGTGGACTTGTCAGCAGATGGGTCTATGAAAGATGAGGTGAGCCATAGAAATAACAAGGACAGTGGTGCACTGAGGAATCTGTGGAGACAAAGAACATTATCCATAGAGGCAAAAAGGGGAGTGTATGAGAGTATAGTGTTGCCAATGCTCTTTTGTGTGTGTGTGAAGCATGGGTTGTGAATGTTGCAGCAAGGAGGAGGCTGGAGGATGTGAAGATATTGCATCTGAGGGCATTATGCGGTGTGAATATTATGCAGGGAATTTGTGGCTTGGAAATTAGGAGGTGAAGGGTTACTATATCCAGAGGGCTGAAGAGGGATTGTTAAGGTGGTTTGAAAATTTAGAGAGGATGGAACAAAATATGATGACTTGGAGAATGTATAACACTGTAATGAAGGGAAGATGGGATATGGATCATCCTAGGAAACGTTGGAGGGAAGGGGTAAAGGAGGTTTCGTATGTGAGGGGTTTTAGACATCCAACAAGAGTGTGTGAGCATGTTAGATAGAGAGTGAAGGCAAATGGTTTTAATGACTTGATGTGCTGTTAGAGTTGAGCAAGGTAACATTTATGAAGGGATTCAGGGAAACCAATTAGCTGGACTTAGAGTCCTGAAGGTAGGAAGTGCAATGCCTGCATTCTGAAGGAGAGTTGGGAATATTTGCAGTTTTTAACTGTAGTATCAGTGTGCCTCTGGCAAGAGTGATGGAGTGAATGATGGTGAAAGTATCTCTTCTTTTTTTGAGTCACCCTGCCTCAGTTGGAGATGTATGGTGTGATGAATTTTTTCCTAACACACTGGCTGTCTCCCACCAAGGTAGGGTGACCTGAAAAATAATTAATAATTAATACAGTAATAATCACAGGGTCAGAAATTTACACTAAAACATTTAAAGATTTAATGCCTTGAGTCCATTTTTCGTGCTGAATTTACTGAATTTTAACCCTTTGACTGTCGCAGGCCCCTTTATGAAACTGTCATTCTATGTCGCAAAATTTAAAAAAAAAAAAAAAATTCCTAGGAAATGATAGAGAATCTTTTCCCTGATGGTAATGACACCAAAAGTATGAAATTTGGTCGAAAACTCACGGAATTACGCTCCCGTGAAGTTAGCGGTCTTGGCGACATATACGCATTGGCAATTTCACCGACTTTTAGCCCTGTTTTTGGCCAATTCCGTTGTTCCAGTTGACCAAACTCATAGCTATTTCTTTAGACCTCCATTTTTTCTATTAGTTGAGTACAAGAAACCGCCCATTTACCGATTTGAACTACCCAATAAAGTGGTTAGAAAGAAATTGGCAATTTGGTCAATTTCACACAAATTAAAAAAGATGCCAATTTCAAAATAGGGTCCAGAATAAATAATGTAGACATTCTTGGCACTAAAATAACATGTCCTCTGTTCATTAGTCACGTCTCTAGGTCCCTCTTATATTACTATTGCTTTCTATTTTGATTTTTTATTCATACAAAAAATACAAAATTTACTGTTATGCAGACTACTGCATTATTGTAAAAATGGTATAAATAATATCAGTGCACTAGTGAAAGAATATTAGACTCCCCAGTTGATGTGTATTGGACGTGTGGTGTAATTTGCTTACTCCTGAACATTGGTAAAAATCGAATATTTCCGCTACTTTGAGCTCAATTTCAAGGTCGTTTTCATCATGAAACTAATCAAAATCATCTCTATTTCTGTAATATGTTCTCTGTTTTATCACATGAGACCATGAAAACGAGAATACAACGATAAATACTTTACAAAAATGCACCTCAAAGTCGAGCATTTTAATCCAAAAAAATGGTCAGTTTTTTTTTTTCTCATTATGCACTGCATGCTGCAGGATTTTTTTTATGTGGTGCACACTGACCACACAGACCCATTCTCTCTCATGTGGGCCTACCAACTTTCTCCTGCTTGATTTGAAGCCGCTAGATTTATTGAGTATATATACGTCCGAAACACTGGCTCGTAAGACGTATATATACGACCAAAACAGTCAAAGGGTTAAATTAGATAATTAGATGGTAACAAGTTACCTCCTAACTCTAAATTTTTTTATTCTAGGAATTTTTTGAAAACCCAGCTTTCAGACCAGATGGTCTGAAAATCTACCCAACCTTGGTTATTCGTGGCACAGGTCTGTATGAGCTGTGGAAGACTGGACGCTATAAGAGCTACCCTCCAAATACCCTGGTTGACTTAGTAGCTACAATACTCTCACTTGTACCTCCTTGGGTTCGTGTATATAGAGTACAAAGGGACATCCCCATGCCTTTGGTGAGGTAGGTTTGTCTAAATGTTACCAAATATTTCTAACTATTAGGGTTATAAATTTAGATGTAGAGTTGAACCCATGAATTCACTGGAGTTATGCTCTTAGATCCATGCCAGGAGCAAGGGGCCAGTAATCCCTTCTCCTGTATATATTACTTAATTTAAAAGGAGAAACTTTCGTTTTTCTTTTTGGGCCACCCTGCCTTGGTGGGATACGGCCAGTTTGTTGAAAGATGATGATGTTCCTGGATGGTAAGAGAAAAAATGGTGGTATAATGAAAATTAGTGCACATTGTGCACCATCTCACTGGTTAATATTGTTGTATAAATACCGAGAAAGTTTATTAACAAAATCCTGTTTCAAACAGGTAGGTTTCCAGTTATCAAAACCTGTACTGTTTATTAATCAATTATGCTTTTACTTTTATCATATAAATTACAGCAGGTGTTTGACTCTCCAAACTATATGGAAGAGAACCTCTGCTGTATACAGAAACTTCCTGTTAAACATGCCGTAGGATCAGGGGTCTCTTTTTAAGGGAGGATGGAGACTGAGGCTATCTTGATGACACCTGTTACTGATCAGTTTTTTTAATATATTCCATTTTTTTCAACATGCCGGCCATATCCCACCAAGGCAGGGTGACCCAAAAAGAAAGAAAAAACTTTCATCATCATTCAACACTTTCTACATCACTCGTACATAATCACTGTCTTTGCAGAGGCGCTCAGATACGGAAGTTTAGATGCCCCTCCAAACTGCCAATATCCCAAACCCCTCCTTTAAAGTGCAGGCATTGTACTTCCCATTTCCAGGACTCGGGTCCGGCTAACCGGTTTCCCTGAATACCTTCACAAAATATTACCCTGCTCACACTCCAACAGCTTGTCAGGTCCCAGAAACCATTTGCCTCCATTCACTCCCATCTAACACGCTCAAGCATGCTTGCTGAAAGTCCAAGCCCTTCGCCCACAAAACCTCCTTTATCCCCTCCCTCCAGCTATATCATATTTGATAAAAAAAAAAAAGGAAAAACATCTGAATATCTCAACCTAGCAATCACATTTTAAAGATCTTTATTTTTTCATCTAAATGTACCAAATAAATAGGAACCCATTACACCTACACAAATTGACCATATATATACCTAAGAGTAACAAATAAGAGAAGATAAAAAAAAAAAATCTGAAGAGCTTTTCCAGACAATCTTAATATATATATATATTTTTTTTTTTTTTTTTAAATTGTACCAAACATGTAGGAACACATCAAACTGACACCAAATAACCATATACAATCTCAAATATTACTGCAAATGGTCAAGTACTATATGAGGCATTGTACAGCAAAAGAGAATAACACCCCTAAATTCAACCAATGGAAAAAAACCTCATTTAAAGTTTTGCTATGGAAGCTTCCTTAAGGAATCTAGTGTTTATATATTCTTTTGCAGTTCTGGTGTCGAGCATGGAAACCTAAGAGAGCTTGCTCTAGCTCGAATGAAAGATTTAGGTACAGAGTGCCGAGATGTTCGCACTCGTGAAGTTGGTATCCAAGAAATCCATCACAAAGTTCGTCCATATGAGGTGAGGGAAAGATACCCCAAATTTTACACTAAGCACTGGCTTACTTCTTATAAATTTCTTTATATTTTTTTCAACATGTTGGCTGTCTCCCACCGAGGCAGGGTGACCCAAAAAAGAAAGAAACACTTTCACCATCATTCACACAATCACTGTCTTTGCAGAGGTGCCCAGATACTACAGTTAGATGTCACTCCAAACAGCCAATTTCTTTATTTAATTTTTTAACACATCGGCCTTTTCCCACCGAGGCAGGGTGATCCAAAAAGAAAAAAAACTTTCATCATTTCAACACATTCACCATCATTCATACACAATCACTGTCTTTGCAGAGGCACTCAGATACGACAGTTTATATGTCCCTCCAAACAGCCAATATCCCAAACCCCTCCTTTCAATTGCAGGTATTGAACTTCCCACCTCCAGGACTCAAGTCTGGCTAACCAGTTTCCCCGAGTCCCTTCACAAAATATTACCCTGCTCACACTCAAGTTTGTTTCTCATTGTCAGCAAATGACAAGTATTTAATGCATGTAATAGTCAGCCAGGATGTAGGAGTCTTATGTTCCATATACTTCTTTGAACTTCTTAAACTCATGAAGCCATATGAAATAACTGAGATTATACATGTGGAAATTGTGTAAACAGTGGGGAATTTCCATAGGAAACAAGGCCATATTGATTTCAATAAACTACTACTGTATTGAAAGATTTCTAGTGAAATGTTCGATGCTTAAATTTTTATAATTATTTGTACTTTGCAAAAAAAGTTGCCTCATTATTTGTCAAAGTTTTCAACATTTTAGGTGGAATTGATCAGACGTGATTATGTAGCAAATGGTGGCTGGGAAACCTTCCTTTCATATGAAGACCCAGAGCAAGACATCTTAGTTGGACTACTCCGCTTAAGGAAGTGCTCAGATCAAACTTTCAGGTATTGTATTTTTTTTAACACACTGGCTGTTTTCCACTGAGGCACAGTGACTAAAAAATTAAGAAAGGAATTTCTGTCTTGCCAGAAACACACTGACTTCACAGTTCAGTTGGCTGTCTTGAGCTGCAACATCCTCACCCCTCCTTCAGAGTGCAGGTGCTGTACTTTCCACCTCCAGGACTCAAGTTCAGCTAACTGGTTTTCCTGAAGCCCTTCATAAATGTTACCTTGCCCATATTTATGTTACCTTGCTCACAAAAACCACTTGCCTCCACTCATTCTGATCTAATACCATCACACAAGCCTGTTGAACTAGAACTTAAAGCCTCTATTACCACCTTCCTACAACCCCTCCCCCATCCCTCCAACCAAGAGGTCAAGTGCCCAAACCATCTCAGCACCTTCTCCTCAGCCCTCTGGTAACCCCACACCTTCTAATCTCCATGCTTTGAATTCTCTGCATAATCACACCACATATCACCTTAAAAGACGATATCACGGCCTCCAACCTCCTCTTTGCATGCCATGTACATTATCCCTTAAAAAAAATGCATGTATTCACATGGTCACAATACAGGTTGGCCATCACTAATCCGGCAATCAGTAATCCAGTTCCATCAGAAATCTGGCATTAATTTCGGCTAGCATAATTTCTAATTTCCAGGGTTGCCTCACCAACCAGCCGCTACTGTTTGGTGGCAGTACTTGCTGCATAAGTCATTCCAATTTCTTTTTCTCCATTTATTCTTATAACCTGCTCACTTTTAGCCCTAGCTATGGTTCCAACTAATAAAAGAAATGCTTCTCATTGTGTAAAGCACATACACCATACATTGTCCATAAAAGATAAGGTGGCTTTGAAGCCAGTGTTGGTCACTATGAGCTCAGCTCACTCAGACAAGCTGTGACTGGTAAATTTGGGCCTACATATGAGAGAATAGGTCTGTGTAGTAAGTGTGTACTATATAAAAAATCCTGCAGCACACAGTGCATAATGAGAAAAAGCGGCGACCGTGCTTTTGATGTAAAACAGCGACTTTGTGGTGTATTTTCACATGGTTTGTATGGTTGTATTCTCATTTTTTTTGGTTTCATTTAATAGAATGGAAGATATATTACAGAAATAGATATAATTTTGATTGGTTTCATGCCGGAAAGTACCTTAACCCCTTAACTGTCCAAACGTAGATCAACATTGTTACCGCTAGCACTCCTACCGTAGATCAGCATTTTATTTTTCCTGCCTGCAAATTTGGCACGATTGGCCTGAGATGCCTGCTCAGTATAGAATGGATCCTAACAATTGGTGTGTGCAGTATTAAAAAAATTTGGGACCACTTAGTACCTTGTGGAAGCACCAGTTCAATTGAGCACCAGCTAGAGCAAACAGTGTGGCAGACACTAAGGATTCACTGATGTCATGTCTTATTAACACTCTCTTTTAAGAGAAAATAATGTTGACCCTGAGTTTAGTGGCTTTGAGATGGATGTGGCCACAAGTGGTTGAGGAAATATAAAAAACCTCAATAATAACCCATGTGCAACATCCTTTCAGTTTTGATACCACTGGTAGTGTCATCCTGCCAGAATGTCCTATAACCTATGCCCTAAGTAAAGAGAAACAGTTCGGGAACATTTGTAATATGTGTTCGGCCGACTGGCCAACTGACCAACTGACTGACTGACTGACTGACTGAGGCTGTCTCTATCTCCGTCTGTCTGTTTGTATTTATTTCTGTCTCTATGCCTGTTTCTGTCTATACCTGTCTGTCTATACCTGTGTCTGTCGATCCCTGTCTCTGTCTGTCTGTCTCAAAGGTATGCATAAATACAATTATTATTCATAGTGCAAATTACCTAGGATAACCCCAAAAAATCCAGACAAAGTGCTATACTGTGCTTGTAGATACAGTCTCTCCTCACTTAGCGACGTACTCGTTTACTGATGCTTCGGACTTACAATGAGCTCTCTGACCAGTATTCATACCTAAATAATGTATATTAGATATGATTTCCTCTGTTCTCTTTATTTCAATATACAGTACATTACTGTATAAACATTTAAAAATATACCAGAAATATTATAAATGGTGGTTAACACAAACTCACTACCATTATAGTATGCTCCTCACTTAGTGATGAATTCATTTAACGACGTGGTCTTAGGAACCGTCGTTAAGTGAGGAGAGGCTGTATAAGGCATAATAAGCATGACTGGCAAGTACAGTGATGCCTCACATATCCGGCTTGCCATTATGCGAACCTCGCCAATATCCAAACAGGCCCTAGGAAAGAGCAAAATTCTGAAATTACAGTGGACCCTCGAATTTCGTGATTAATCCGTTCCAGAGAGTCTGCTGAATGGCGAAATTCACGACTGGCGAAACCATTTTCCCCATTAGAAATAATGGAAATCCAGTTAATCCATTTCAGACACAAAAAAAATATTAACAAAAAATATTTTTTTAAAGATTAAATATAGATTTACATACAGAAAACAATGACAAATGAATATAAAGCACTAATAATATGAATAAATAAACATTTAACATCACACTTACCTTGTTGGTGTATGGCAGACATGTAGGAGGGGAGAAGGAGGCGAGAGGGAGGCAAGTTATTATGCTTCAATATGAGGCAAATATCATCTCTACGGCTTATTTATCTATCACAGTTCATCTGATATGACATAATAAACAGTATTAATAACACAGAAACTTGATACAGTGGACCCCCGGTTAACGATATTTTTTCACTCCAGGAGTATGTTCAGGTGCCAGTACTGACCGAATTTGTTCCCATAAGAAATATTGTGAAGTAGATTAGTCCATTTCAGACCCCCAAACATACACGTACAAACGCACTTACATAAATACACTTACATAATTGGTCGCATTCGGAGGTAATCGTTATGCGGGGGTCCACTGTATATACTCTAGAATGAATAAAATATGTCATAACATATGTGAGGAGTAAATGTTGATGGTGTTGTTGGGTTTATAAGAGCTGCTGAGAGAAGCTGTACATATTAGTGGTGGTGGAGGCAGCAGCAGAAGCCACCAACACTGTTCACATTGAAACAATGTACGTAATTTATAAATAAGAAATATTTACACTTACCTTGGAGATGTTAGTTTAATTAGTTTGATGGAGGATATGCTGGCAGAGGTTTAGGGTGGTGGAAGATAGCAGAGTGGCGTATGTTCAGTGGCCTTACACACCTCCAACAACATTGGATAGTTACTTTCGTGTCATTTTTCTATCACTTAATCGCTTTACTTACTTGCTACACTGTTAATGCTACACTTTATTGCTGGCTGGCACTATAGCCTTTATCAATACCTGCTGCTTTAGTATCGTACATATAGTAGAATCACTGAAGAAGGCACATTCTCCCCTCTCTCTTCCTTCTCCACTTTGGTACTTTGCTATGAGTTTTTTTCTTGAATTCTATCATGTTTCTTTCCTTCTTTACCAAAGGCTTGACACTAGGAGCTTTCTTTGGGCCCATGGTGGCTTATTTAGCAGTTGCAAGCACAAAAAACAATGGATTATTATGAAATGTATCATATGAACCTGTGGGGTGATGGCCACTCGCTGGTAAACAATGGCACACTGAATGTGAATGGTGCAGGAGACTGGCTTTGTGTGTGCACTGACGCTGGGGTGCTGCTCCAACGTGTACCAGACGGTCGCCGAATCGCATGGCCAATCATGAACCACGAGGCTATATTTTGCCAAAAAAAGTTGCCGAAAGTCGGATTTCATGAAAGCTGCAACCGCTGAAAGGCAGGGGTCCACTGTATTACCAAAACATCCAAACAGTCATTCAGATATGGCAGAAGGCTGAATAAAACTTGGCTTGTAGATGAATGGTTCACAACCGACACGTTGATAAATTAGACACATGTGCAACTCTTGCGAATCTTTATTAAGGAAACGTTTCGCCACACAGTGGCTTCATCAGTCCATACACAGGAGAAACTTGAAGAATAGGAGGAGAATGAGGTAATCATTCCCTCAACCTTGAGTCGATGTGGTCAGTCCATCAATCTTGAGTAGAATACGGCATATGAGCGGAGAAGGAGCTTATAAACCGTAGGTAGGAGAGGTGCAGCAGTCATAGGTGGTGTCACATTTGCCCAATGTGGAAGTAGGTCGTGCCCAAGGGTAAGGCAAGCGAAGAATTCCCAAGTATTAAGATCCCAAGAAGTTGCAGTGTCTGACAGGATTGTAGATGAATGGTTCACAGAACCGACACGTTGATAAATTAGACACATGTGCAACTCTTGCGTACCTTTATTAAGGAAACGTTTCGCCACACAGTGGCTTCATCAGTCCATACACAGGAGAAACTTGAAGAATAGGAGGAGAATGAGGTAATCATTCCCTCACCCTTGAGTCGATGTGGTCAGTCCATCAATCTTGAGTAGAATACGGCATATGAGCGGAGAAGGAGCTTATAATCCGTAGGTAGGAGAGGTGCAGCAGTCATAGGTGGTGTCACATTTGCCCAATGTTGAGGGAATGATTACCTCATTCTCCTCCTATTCTTCAAGTTTCTCTCGTGTATGGACTGATGAAGCCACTGTGTGGCGAAACGTTTCCTTAATAAAGGTATGCAAGAGTTGCACATGTGTCTAATTTATCAACGTGTCGGTTCTGTGAACCATTCATCTACAATCCTGTCAGACACTGCAACTTCTTGGGATCTTAATACTTGGGAATTCTTCACTTGCCTTACCCTTGGGCACGACCTACTTCCACATTGGGCAAATGTGACACCACCTATGACTGCTTCACCTCTCCTACCTATGGTTTATAAGCTCCTTCTCCGCTCATATGCCGTATTCTACTCAAGATTGATGGACTGACCACATTGACTCAAGGTTGAGGGAATGATTACCTCATTCTCCTCCTATTCTTCAAGTTTCTCCTGTGTATGGACTGATGAAGCCACTGTGTGGCGAAACATTTCCTTAATAAAGGTACGCAAGAGT